GAATGGGGATGAAGGAGGTAGAACACGAGTCACGGACTCTTCCAATGACTGGCGGGTATTGCGTTTGCCCTCACCTCGGGCTCTCTTTCTCCTCTCTAGTGCACCACAAGATGAAGAAGAAGACAACGACAAAAATTTTCATTCAAATATTCATTAACCAATACATAAGAGAATGGTCATATATATAGGTCGCACAATGACAAATAAACAAAAGATAACAGTGCCCCTCGGGCTACAATAGTGACCAACTACCCATAAGGGAAAAAACAGAAAACTGAAGAAATAATAATGACTAATACATAAAATGCGTCAAAAGTAGAGACTCTCCATCGTGGCCATCGATCTCTTGTGTCGCCTCTGATACACGCGTCGAAATTTCGTATCGATGTCCCCATCACTGTTAGCAGTCATGGTTCTAGTGGAAACAAACAATACTTCTCCAACCTTAAACGGTGGTGTGGATTGGCACTTTTGCCATGTGGCTATTGGAAAAATGTTGAATTTGAAGGCATCCCCCACAATTGCACATTCTACAAGCTCTTTGGTCACAATTAGTCTAATTGCTTCAAGGCTTACTTAGATTTGAGAAAATCAAAAGTTCAGGTTTAATAGGTACACTTAAATTATCAAACCATTCTTTCTCCCACAATAATTGTTGCTCTTTGATCTGCTGCGGTTTGCACTCAAAATCAAAGAGCAATTGATTTTCCTTTATAAGCTAAAATTAGTGTGCCTAGCCCTGATAATCTTAAAATTTACCTACACCTATTACAAAGATCTTGGTTATTGATCCTCCAATTTTGGAAATTCCTCATCTCCCTCCTATCGGTAAAAACACAAATGATCATAATTCACATCATTCTTAATTCTAATGGGGGAGCATTCTGATAGGAAATACTTGAGTTCGCAAGTAACCCTAAGGTAATACTTGAGTTCGCAAGCAAAGCTAACCCAAATCGGCGAACAAACAGCAGCCAAATGGCTGTCCACAGCAGGAAAACAGTCAGAAATTGCTTTGACTTTACAGCAGAAAAACAGACTTGTCGGGAAATATGGAGAGAAACTCAAGAAAGACTTGTTTACCACTTAGACATGAATAAAATAGCAAGATACAATTGATCCTCAATTCAAGAGGAGATCGATACTCTCCAAATCTCTGGCAACGCCAAGAGCCCAAAGAAACTTAAATCTAAGAGATCTCAAATTTAGCCAAATTCAAGATGATCAAACCTAGAAAATCAACTATTTATGCATGACAAAATCAAAAGAAATCCTAAACAGTCCCAATTCAAATTCCCTCCTAATCTTCCTCAAAATTTCTTCCTAAAATGCTCCGCAAGGCGAGCAGCTCGCGCGGCTCCGCCCAGGTGGAAACCTTCGCTGCGCGCGTCTGGGCAGGCCCGGTGGACCGGAGGACGTTTACCTGGACCAGTCTAACAATACTGCCCTCCTGAAAATCCACCTTGTCCCCAAGGTGGAGATATGCTCGTGTCCGGTGGAGGCGGCCAATCCTTCGAGAGGACTGAAAATCCTTACTGTATTGCTGAACCAAAGGCTGCAAGGAAAGAGAAACATCCCCTCCCTCCTCCATCCTAATCACATTCAGCTTGTGTAGTCCCACCAGATAGTCTTCCCCACCTCTTGCATATCCCTGACCATGGTTTTAAGTGATGTCATGGCTTTGGAGTTTGGATAGCCCTGCATCTCCCCTTATGACCACCCTTCTCCCATCCACCATTAATTCCATCGTGAGTGCTTCCCAATTGTCCTAGGTTTCCCCCAAGATTTGCAACCACTTCATCCCCAGGATGACATCAGTGCTTCCTAACTCTAGTGGGAGAATGTCCTCCCTTACTTGAATCCCCTGGATAATCAACACCACTCATTTACAGATTCTCTGGCCTTTCTCCACCTTCCTTGTACCCATCATCACACCATAACAACCAGTGTCCACCAATTTCACTCCCAATTGGTTGACAACCTGAGTGGAAATGAAATTATGGGTAGCCCCACTATCAATTAGCACTACCACCTCACGGTCAGCTATCTCTCCTTTCACTTTCATTGTGTGACTCAGAGTGAATCCCACTACAGAGTTCAAAGAGACTTCTGCCACATCCAGGTGCAGCTTCCCCTCATCTTCAGATCTACTCCCACCTCCCTCCTCATCTTCCTTGTCTTCACAGATAAGGAGAACTTGAAGAGTTCGGTCTTTGCACCTATGCCCCGGCATGTACTTCTCATCACATCTGAAGCACAACCCCTTTGTCCTTTTATCCTGCATCTCCTTCTCTGTCATCCTCTTGAAATTTTCCCCACTCCCTCCTACTGGCTTCTCCCTGATGGTCTCATTAATGTTGTCTGATGCAGGCCACTTGGGTGCTAGAAGAGTGGTCGTCGTCCCACAAGATCACCCTGAATAGTTTCCTTGAGACGCTCTTTCTAATTTCTTCTGATCTTCCACCAACTGCACTAGCTCCATAGCCTTCCCTAGGTTCCTCGGCTCCAACACCCTGACCGCTATTCGTATCTCCGGTTTAAGCCCCTTCATGAAGTTCCCTTCCAGGGCTGACTCTGAAATGTGATCCAATCTGCTAGTCAAGTACTCAAACCTATCGCGGTAATCTGCCACAGTCCCCTCCTGAGTCAAGGCAAAGAATTACTCATAGAAGTCTCCTCCCTCATCGGCTCGGAAATGCTCCAATAAGCAATCTTTGAACTCTCTCCAGCTCCGGATAGGCTCCCTCCTGTCACGCCACTGGTACCATGCCAAGGCTTTTCCTTCCAAACACAATCCCGCCGTTGTCAGTTTCTCTTCCTCTATCAATCCGTTGTCAGCAAAGTAACGCTCCACCTTGTAGATCCAGCCATGGCCGTCTTCACCCTCAAAGACGGGCATCTTCAGCTTCCTCACTCGTGTGTCTCCCCAGTTTCCCCTTAATCCTCCATAACCTCCCATTTCTCGAAGAGGAGTTGTTCCCCAACTATCACGATCCTCCCTCCGGCGATGATACCCGAACCCATCATCATATTCCCCTCCTCCCTTCAAAATCAACACCCCGGCGATGAAAATCTTCCCTTCTCCCGACGAAATCAGCGCCCCTTCGGTCATTTCTCAAACTCATCTCCTCTCTAGAAAGTGGCTCTAGAGGTGACATGTCATCCTCTCCCCCAATGACCTCCACTTCCGGATTTCTCCTCCCCCTAAACGGGTTCGGATTCCCTCCTACTCCATGGCCTCCGGTGATCCATTTTTCTTCCGATGTCGTAGGATTGGTCTTTAACTCCAACTGTTTCTTCAACATCTCTTCCATCACTGTGAATTTCCCCTCAATCCTTTCATTGTTGGAGGTGATTTGGTTTTGAAAATCAAAAAATTTTTCCTCCAAATCTGACTTTAGTTGCCCGATCTCGCCTTCCAGTACTTCTACCTTCTTGCCGGCCATCTCTCTTCCCATGGATCACAAAGATCTTCTTCCGATTGTCAAAAATCCGCTGAAATTTCCAAATTTCAGTCTCCGAATGTCCCAAATCGACGCTCTGATACCAATTTGATAAGAAATACTTGAGTTCGCAAGTAACCCTAAGGTAACCTACATTCAAATTCCCTCCTAATCTTCCTCAAAATTTCTTCCTAAAATGCTCCCGCAAGGCGAGCGGCCTCCGCCCAGGAAAACTTCCGCTGCGCGCATCTGGGCCGATCCCGCATGGACCGGCTGGACCAGTCCACTGGACCAGTCTAACACATTCTGAGTGAAGTGCTAGTAGATAGGAGGTTTTATATCTTATTCACCATATGAGGCTGAAATTAATTTAAAAAAAAAAACTATCGTCACCCTTCTATTTTTACCAGGCTTCTAGCTAGATAGTCCAACTGAACGATATTAGATTCTAATGGTGGCTTTAGCTTCATTTTATCCTATCTATCTTTCTTTTTTCCCTGGAAATTACCGTTATTTTAGTTTTATCATTATCTAGTTATAAAACTATGATTAAAAAAAGTTGGTAAAGACCTCTCCAATTTTTTAAATTTTTGTAATAAGTTGGAACTCATAGATATATATGCACCAAGTTGAGGGGAAGCATTAATGTATAAAAATACTTGATTGGAAATGTGTTATCAAAGAAATGCTAGATTAAAGAGATGATTTCTATACTGTAATATATCCAGCATAATTGAGGATATTCTTCTTATTATCATCCTTTTTTATTCTCCCAGATAGCCTATATATGGGAGCTTGTATTCAATCAATGAAAACATAACAATAATAACATCTTTCCAACAAAAACAAATACGACACCAACTTTGCAGCTTGCAATTACCTGAAGGGGAAAAAACACCTTTCTATGATGTTTCAACATAATTCACATGACCATCACATCAAAAATTTGATGGACCAATTATTCATTTCTTTATGCTCTAAACTTTAATGAGAAATGCTCATTAAACTTGCTAAAACAAACTTTCAACTTCAGCCCTATCATATACCATTAAAACAATAATGTTAGCCCATGACCTTCTCGTGAATCATGCTAATCTTACATGCTGCATGAAACATAAGCAAAAGTATCACAACAATGTTCACTTTGTGGGTGCGTGAAACATTGTCAAATTTAACATTCCTTCTTATTGTAGTTAGTTAAATTTCAAGTGTTTATTCTTAAATGCTTTTGCAAAGCTTTTATATTCTTTATCCTCTATTTTATATGGCATTATTTTTTTTTAAATCACTATTTCTACAGCTTATCCCATTTATACTGCTCAGAGTAAATGGTAAATAGGCTACATGCCGTTGTAAGAGAAATGTAAAAGTGGTTAAATGAGGAGAAGTCGGATACAAGAATACAACGCATCTCACTAGGCAATGTGCAAATTTAATACTAATGATAACCTTGAGACAATCAAAAGACTTTGTTTGAAATGAATAAAATTCAGGACCAAATAATAAACAAAAATCAACGGGCTGTCCCAAGCAACAGAACAGTAGAAGAATACATACAACATACTGTAGTACAAGAGAGGAGCCATATCTGGTCCTAAATATTCTCTCTAAACATGCAACTATAGTCTCCTCCAATTTAGGTTCATCCACCTCCATCTGTAACACGCTGCAAGAGCTCAAAATTATAGTGACCAAATCAGACTATTGCAGTATCGTTTATATGCTATTAGATTATTAGACTACAAAAATTTATCAAATATTTCTTCATTTTATATCAAAAATTTAAAAATTATATCCAATAAAGCATAATTCCCAAAAGTACTTATTTTACTCATTTTAATTGAGATAAAGAATACACCATGAACCCAGGCAGATCTCTACTTTCTGTTTAACAAACTAAGAAAATAAGATAAATTGCATAAACGAATCTGGCAAAAAGGAATTTAAGAAGGATATTTTAAGACTAATATATGAGCAATGAAGAAACTCAAATAATGGCAGAAAAAAAAAAGATTTAGGCTAAGATCCTGTGACTAATAACCAAAGGTCTCCCAATGTTGGATTGAAATTCTGCAGAAGAAGGAACAACCTGAAGCACATATACTCCCGTAATCACATTCCTTACCATCCACACCAAAAGCTGACCATAAAAAAAATGAAAAATAAATAAATTAATAAATTATCAAAAATGGACAAGAAATTGATGGCCAAAAATAATTGGAATGCACCCTTGCATATAATATTCAACAATCATTAAGTAGCAGCTCTCATAAAAAAGGAACCCTACAGCTAAACAAAAAAAGTCCAGTTCTACCAACTAGATACCATAACCAAACAACTCCGCATACTTAAAGCTTCTCTAACTTCAATTTTCATAATACCCCGATAAAAATAAAAATCTCTATTTCTCCAGCATACCATGTAGCTTTAATTCTAGAATCCATCTCCTCATCTCTCTCTCTTTTTCTCTATATAATAGATCTAAAATACTAAAATTAATTACACCTAAGTGTCACCATTTCTTATAATAATATTAAATGATAATTGTTAGAACCATAACCACTAAAGTTATATATCATATATTCAACCTTTATTTTACTAATTATGAGGCTTTTGTCTTCTAAAAAATTTCTTCCACTATTCAAATTATTCATTTATTCCAATAAATGTATCCTAAATTAGATCTATATCATGTGATATAGGTGTCAAAGGGATCTTAATGGTAAATGCACTAGCTTACTTCATGGTGAGGTGGAAGTCCAAATTATGAAAGAGTTAGAAATATGGAAGGCTAATATTACCAAGTATAGGGCTTGGTGGAAGTCATCACTTGTGTTAGGTAAGCTAGATCTATATTTTATGAATCAAGCTTGGACTATATTTTATGAATTTATTAGGTGTTTGAATGGGAATATGGGGAAGCCGAAGGCAGAGGATTAGGGGTGGTTTATTTTAGAGAAAGGTGGCAAATTGAAAGGAAGGACAAAGGTTGGGGTTTGGGAGAAGTAGAGGGGGTCAAGCCTTCTCTCCTTAGGATTTAGTAGAGTAGTGGGTATGGATAAGTTTGGAGGGTTTAGGGGTGGAGGAGGGAAGCTGAAGTACTAATGTGGGTTAAAGGTGTCGGCAAGGTTTAAGGTTTTGAGGGGAAAGAGATTGGGAGCTAGTTAAGGGAGAGAGGGAGGAGTTTTAAGTCAACCAAATGATGACTTTCTGACTCTTAAGCACAAAAAAAATTTATCAGCTAACCAGCCTCTCAAATTTTTGAAGGCTTTTACACAAGAATTTTGCATAAGCAAAAGTTAGTCTCATATATATATAATATATATATATTCAAAGATTTCCAATGCATGGGAATTTCACTTGATTTGAAAATTATTTTGGATGACATAGTTAACTTCACATAGAAAGTTGAGGCTAATCAAGCAAAGAAAACAACACAAAATAAATAAATGATAATTTTGTTGAATTCGGCCAAATAACAAAGGAAATTGAGTAATTCCAAATTTCTATCAATTTTCAACCTTCACTGATCCAAGCATTGAGTAGCCTAATATTGCACATTTTGAAGAGAATTTTGGAAACATTTTCATCTATTTTTGAGAGAGTTGGGTGTTCATGGCATGCAACTAAAGTAAAGTGATCTTAGAATTAAGCATATGCTTGATTTCATCATGAAAGGGATGAACTCTTGTTTGGTTGCATTGCAATTTGTATTTTTCATAATTATGATGGACATGATGCTTCCTCCACCCTAATTTCATGCTCTTATTCAAGATTTGATCATGCATTTGTGTTGTCTCAGCAAGGCACCTCACCTTGAACATCTTTTATAAACAGCTCCATAATGAATACAAAAGATATACTCAATATTAATCTTTGATATAAACCTACCATAATAAGAAACTCTTGGGTCACTACAAAACTACAAATACTAGCCAGAGTTCATCATAAATATCTTTAATAATACTAGCATACTCTTGACACACATCTTTCAACCTTAATGCACGCCAAATAAATTCAAATGTACTTGGCCATATGCCTTCTTAACATGAGTAAAAATCATGAAGTCTTTCTTTGTTCTGTATACTTCTCTATTAATTATCTTAACATATAAAACGCTTCAATATTAAATCTTCCTAGCAAGAAACCAAATTGATTTCAAAAATTAATGCAATTTTCTAAGCTTGCATTTTATTACTCTCCCATTACTTCATTATATAACTCATAAATTTAATATTTTATGAGGTCACACAATTGTGGTTATCATCTTTGTTCAAATATTAGTAAGGAATATTTTTTCTCCAAACATTTGGCATTCTTTTTAGACTTTAAAATTCTATGGAAAATATTTGCTAATTAAATCACAGTTACGTCACAATAACTCTCCAAACCTTTAATTTATATATTAACTGAACCTAAAGTATACTTATCTTTTTAGAGGAATACAAACTGTAATGTTTGGATTAACCTATAATATTCGTTATATTGTTTATTATGCTTTTCAAAAATAATCTCTTCCTTAAAAGGCTCAATCAATATATCTCAAAATAATATTTTCATCTTTCTTTGGTTGCATCATTTACAATCCACTAACCCGATTAGGAGAGTGATGTATTAAATTTGACCTATGTTAAGAAAGGTAGAGTTAGACCTAAAAAAACTTTGTTAGAAAATATCAAAAATAATAAACTTTTTTTATTAGATTTAAATGAGAATCTGACTCTTAACTAGACACGAAGGACAAAAAGAATTCATATAGTCGACTCCACATGATAGGATAAACGCTTTATGTTGTTATTGTTATATCATATTATCTTCAATTTTTCCATCTAATTTAATCAAATTTTCTAATTCTCATACCTTTAGGCCTTAGAAATTCTATATATCTTTTTTTCACTTTTCTTAGTACCAAACCTCTTAATATAAACCCTAAAAAATTAAAGCTCTTTTTTTTCTTTCTTTTTTTTTTTTTTAAAACTTTTTTTTTTTTTTTTTTTTTTTTTTTTTTTTTTTGACTTTATATTCTATACTTTTTGTAAGATTTCTAGCTTTCTTATAATCATTATAAATTTTAGTAGCATTTAATTTTTTTAATTTTTAAAAGTGATTTTTTTTCCTTAAAAGCTCTTAGTATCTCTACCACTAAGTCTCTTTATCAATACGTAATATATTTAATTTCTAAACTCTTTTAAAACTTCTACAACAATCCTCTTAATGGAACTAGTCATCTTATCTCACAATAGGTTTGGCTCAACTGAAATATTTTAATTTGCCTTAGTAACAAATCATGAAAACATTAACAATATCTCACATTTCTTATTCCACCAACTGATCCTATGGAAATTAATTCTTTTAATTGTTTTTCTTCACACTCTAAAGATATATATATCGATAGGACCATAACTACTACCCTATGTTGTATTCAAGCTTTATCTTGAAAATAAGAAATATTTTCTTTCTTTTTAAGTAAGAAGAAATCTATTTGTGATTTGGTTAGTCAACTTTTATAAGTAAGCATGTATTCTTCTCGTTTCTTAAAGTATATATTTGAAATTTAAAGTTTATAAGCTACTACAAAATCAAGCATTGTTTCTTCCATTATATCCCATAATCAGCATGATCTCATTTCAAAAATACTATTAGAACCTTTATGTCTATTTAAATCACCTCCAATAAATATCTTTCTATCAATATTCATTTATTCTCATAATTAATTTTTAAACTATCTTATAATTCAACCTAAGGAATATAAGAACTAAATTCACTATTGATGATTAGCCTAATAGTAATCACCCTATCACTAACCCTATTAACCTAAATAATTTAATCTTGTAACTCTTTATCCAATACTACCCAACCACATTTCTATTGTAAACTTTCTAACATACAACAAATTATAATATCCCTAATGCCTTATTTTTTCCCTCTTTCCATTTAATTTCTTGTAAACAAGCAAATTTATTATTTTACTTGACACCAATTTCTTGTCTTTCCATTCAAAATCCCCAAATTTAATGCAGCAAATATAATCTTAAATTTAAACTTGGTCAACCCTAGCTTACTTTTCATTATAATCGGGTTAACTCGTGGCATGTAGCTTAAGGGTATCCTAGTCCAATCTTACTTACTTTTCACAACAATTAGGTTAAGTCGAGTGACGGTCTAGGCCAAACTTGCTTACTTCTCCCCAAAATTGAGTTAGGTCGTGCAAAGAAATGTCCTTGGACTGACAAAATTGATTTAGTCATGGATGTTCTCACTAGATATTTACAAGAGGTTGTACTCTAGTTTATGCTTTTTTGCTAATGATATTATTCTTATTGATAAGACTAGAAAGAGAATTGAAGGTAAACTTGAATTATGGAGGTCAAACTTAGAGTCTAAAAGCTTTTGTTTGAGTGAATCTAAAACTAAATATATGAACTGTAATTTTAGAAATAATAGATCTATTGGGGCGATTAAGTCATTAATAAGAGTATGCATTTTAGATATCTTGGGTCTATTGTTCAGAGTGATGATGAAATGGATGGGTATATTATTAGCATTTAGCAGAATTCAAGTTGGATGGTTAAAGTGAAAAAATGCATCAGATTTGTTGTGTGATAGAAAAGTCCTCCTCAAACTTAAGGAAAAATTCTGTAAGATGGTGGTGAGACTTGCAATGTTTTATGGTGCATAATGTTGGTCATTAAAAGAGAAGCATAATATTAAGTTAAGTGTTGCAGAGATGAGGATGCTCAGGTAGATGAGTGGCTTTACTCTTGGAGACAGAATATGAAAAGAGCATATATGTGAAAAAGTTAGAGTAGCTCCAGTGGAAGATAAGATTGGAGAGAGTAGCCTTAGATGGTTTGGTCATATAAAACAACGGCCTTCCAATGACCAGATTAGGAAAGTAGATATATTAGATTTGACTTGTGTTAAGAAAGGTAGAGGTAGACCTAAAAAGACTTTGTTATAAAATATTAGAAAAGACTTTTCTTTATTAGATTTAAATAAGAATTTGACTATTAATAAGACACAATGGAGAAAAAGGATTCAAGTAGCAAGTCCCATAGTGCGAGAAAGGCTTGATGTCGTTGTACTTTTTTTTATGGTATCATGTCTCAACAAAGGTATGTTGTTTATTTCATTCTCCATAAAATTGGTGGTTTCAACTTTGTTTTCATAAATTTGAATCATTAAAGCCTCCATAATCCTTTTTGTAGAGTTTATGACTTGAGGATCTTAGCATCCTAGTTGATGGATTCTTCAAATGTTTTGCTATGGCAAATAAATTGCTACTCTTAATGTTATTGTCCCCTTTCATTTTTATTTATATTTTTATACTTTTTTATAAAGACATTAGCCACTTAAATAGAGAAGGTGTTTAAACTTAAAATAATTGAAGACATTTTTCATTTTATGATCCATATTTTATGATATAGTTTTCTTTATTTTTGCCACATATTTGATGATTGCATAATTATTAAGTCTTTTTTTTTTAATTATTAAGTCATTTAGATCATATTTAAATAATTTTAATATTTATTATATTCAACACATGATTCTATCCTGGTTGAACCTTAAACCGCTTCATTATTCGGTTTCATGTCCATCTGTTTTTCAGAAACTTGCTTTTAGCACTATAAATAACTTTGTTGGGGATTATTTAATTAATATATGATGAACATCTACGCATGAATGTCGGTCCCTTTCTTCTTTATTTCATTTCCTTTTCTTCATTTTGTGCAGTAAAATATACTCTCTTATCCCCGACATCTTTGATTTCTCTCCCTCATCTATAGCCTCTCACTCTCACACATCTTAGTTACAATCTCCACGCATCACTAAAAGATTCCGCTGCATTCTACATCAAATATTTTCAGAATCTCGGGTTCAAACAGATAATCTTCGAATCAACTTTATAAGCGATAACCTAAACATACGAGCGTCAAACAGTTTGCTAACAAATGAATGACAAGGCCGTGGCACCTGCAGGGCCATTATGTTAACCCTAACCCACATTCAATCTATCAGAAACATCAAAAGTGCCCATTAGGCAAAACATCGTTTCCCAGTTGTATACAGCCGAAACTCAATCATCAAAGAGCGGGTTAAAGAGTTCATACCCAAACAGAACAGGAAGTGGGTACCGATCAACAAATTCCTTCGCGGAAGCGTCATTCACCGCTCCTGCAAAGTCAGAAAAGCATCTGAATGATACGAATGAACAAGATCAACCGAAGAAGGCTTGAAATAGGGCTTCGTTACCGGGATAAGAGGCGAATTCAGAAGCCGCTTGGAGGATTGAAGCGAGATCAGGAGTCATACCGCACAGCTTGCTACCAGAGCGCGCGCAACTGCAGTGAAAGAAATGACAAACTACGCTCTCGGACTACTGGTGCTTTGCAGTGCCCCGGGCCCCCGAGCAAACCAGGGTGGTTACGCGGCGGAAGGGAGGAGCGTGCGAGCGCTTGCTGTTTTGATAGCAGGCGTGATCCCCACGTCCAAAACATTCAAATAATATTTATATGTAACGTGGGTATGAATTTTTTTTTAATTAGTTTAAATATAAATAATAATATATTAATAAGTATTTTCTTATTTACATATTCAATAAATAATTCTAACTATTTACCACCTTTAAATTTGAGCAAGATTAACAAATCAAGTATTCAAGTTTAATTTTAAGAATTCGAATAGGCTCATGAATCAGCTCGTGTATAAAGAAAATGAGAAAATTACTATAACTTATATTTTTTTTTGGACATTTAGGCCATTTAAGACAAACTCACATACACAGAGACTCAAACCTTAGACCTCTTAGTTGGAAGCCTTAGCTCTCAACCAATAGGCCAAGGAGAGTTGTGTTTAATTATATAGTTAGTTCTATATACTAAAGAGAGAAGTTAAAAATTTTGATATTTTTAATAAAACCCTTAACAATTATGATTTACATAAAACAAAAATATTAATTAAAAAAAGAAATAAATCAAGATTAGGGAATCCCATAGTCGAAGAAGAATGAATATTAAGTTCAAATCTTTTTTTTTTTCAAACTTAGGATTTTCTTTCTACCTTCTTTCTATTATGAATAAAAATGACATTTAAGGCTAATATTGTAAATTTTGTTTGCATGATTTATTATTTGAAATCCCATTATATTAATTAGTTAATTTGAAAAGATAATCATTGAATTTGCAAATGGTTCTATTGGAATTTTACTTTTTATTACTATAGTTATTAATTTACAAGGGTGAAGCGCAAGAATTGTGGCATAATATTTCAATTTTTTAAATATTATTTTTAGAATTTAATTATCTTAATAAAGTTTTTATTAAGTCTCAATGCTGATAAAAATCAACAAAAATCAAACACAAAGCTAAGCAATAAACCCTCAAAATTTCTTTAAGACAGTTTTAGTCCACTATAATTTTTCTATTTTAAAAAAATTTTATACTAAAAAATAGCTTTATAAAACAATAAGAAAATCATACAAAACAAAACCTAAAGCTTTGCTTGAGATAATTTTTTACTACTTTGTAGAATAACTTTTTAATACATAATTTTTTTAATTAAAAATTTTTATACTAAAAAATTATTTTAAAAAGATGGAAGAAAACTATCTCAAACAAAAACTTAATTAAAAATATATTAAGACTTCGTTGGGATAACTTTCTTATTCCTTTCTAAAACATATATATATATATATATAATACTAATTTCAAACATAACATCTACAATTTAAATATATATAAACTTAGCTTCCTTCCACTTTCACTCTTTTTTAAAATTCCAAACCAAATATTACAGATCATCTAATTCCAAACAAGATAACTATGACAAAGCAAATCTGATAAATATAAAATATTTATCCCAAAATATTCACTGCCAAACAAGTTAATTATGACCAAGCAGATCTGATAAATATATATAACTTTTACCCCAAAACAAATATGATGATGCAAATTTTCACTCATCAAATTTAACTTTGGCTTCATTTGAGACAGCTTTTGATCACTATTTTTCTCGCTACTTTCAATACATTTTTTATAAGAAAATTGTCTCAAATGAAACCTTAAACTGGCTAAAACAAAATTACTCTTATAATTATGTAGCAATCAATTATCAACCTATTAAAATCATTAAATGATACGGTTTATCATCAAATAGAAATCAATGGAAACCGAGTTCAATTAATAGGGAAAACTACATAAAAGGAACCAAAGGAATATGTTTCAAACTAAAATGTAAATTGTCCATCGAAAGATATCTCAATATTGAAGCATAAAAGTCTAAAATCTAACAGGCCAATCCTCACAGGTGAGTTCAAAAGGCCATTAACAATGACAATTGATAATCAAATTGACTATTCAACTTTCAGTTTGCTCCCTTAAGCGGCGAATAGTGCTCCTAACAGTCACAGCGCTCGCAGTACTGCAATAGTTTACCATAAAGGTCATAACCAGTCAAAAGTGTGCCAAAAAGAATGCAGCTATAGTATTTATAACTAAAGATGCTAAAAATAAATAGATTAAAAAAGAAGAGATTAGGTTGGCTTAGTAATTGGCTTGTATTTGATGATCACTGCTTGGCTTGTTCATTACTAACTCCTGTTCGACTCGATAATTAGGCTCATCAAGTTAGCCTTCGTCTACACCATCATAACTTGAAAGGAGTCGTGAGATTATGGCTTCATTTGGGGCATCTTTTGACCACTATTTTTTTGGGCTTTGAGCTCGACATGAAAGAATCTAATTTCAAAGGGAAAAAGATAGCATAATAACATACAACTCACTTTAAGGTATAAGCACCCCCTGCTTTCACCTTCCCGCAGTCCTTACATCCCCAGATTCCCACAGCTTTTCTTTTCACTGCATACTGAAAAACAAGTAAAAAAAACTAGCATCAGCAACCAAAAACATACATAAGAGGCGGCCAGCTGCAATGAACTCATCCATGCACATGAAATATCAATCAAATTAATAATCTCAATATCAAAACTAAAGTTTACAATGAAGGCCATATACCTTCTTTTCCATTCATGATATTTAATGAAATCAAAACAAAAGGAATAGTCAAAAGGATACAATATTGTTTCCAATTTCTTAGATTTAATGGGAATATTTGAATAAAATTAGAAAAATTAGAAACTAAATAAATACAATTTTTGAATAATTATAAATAAGTTTAGATAGATTAAAGTAAATTTCATACTTCATATATAATAATAAGGAAATTTAATTAATATATACAGGTTATGCTATAAAAATAATAGCTCTTTTTTTTTTTTGATGAGCATATATAAATTAATAAAGCAAAATGAGGAAAAAACATAATTAATTTAAAATGAGAGATCTGGGTATTAAATTAATTGAAGAGATTCGCCAAAATCTTATGTTATACAGATAATACGATAAAGGAAGCAACCTTCAAATATTAAACAAGTCATCTGAAATTACGACAGAAGATTATATATCTATTTATGGCAATTAATTCAGACTTTTTTCCTATAACAAATGTATTGATATTGATGTTTATGACAACTTATATGCATAAAAAAATATTCCTATTAGTGCCCGACTACTATTGCAAATGTCCAATGTGATTTTTCCCTTTAACATGAAATTTCATATTGATATGAATGTCATGAAGATTTCATATTTGAATATCAAATGACAAGTTATGACTTATGATATGATAAGGAAAATAAACTGCTTAAAATAAATGCATGACAAAAACAATGCAAAAGAATGTCATGTATAAGTGAATACATGTGCATGTTGTATTATTGGGATATTTCGATTTTACTTCATATATTATGCTTTTTTATGTTTTATATTATTCACTCATTAATATAAAATTTTTATCATTTTATGTTTACGCAATCTTTTGATTTTGAGGCTTACACCTCAAAACGCTTTGATGCTTACGCCTCGCCTCACGAATGAAAAACGCCTCAATACCCAAATACGCAATTTTAAACATTGATTTTAATATCAAATGACAAGTTATGATATGATAAGGAAAAGAAACTGCTTAAAATAAATGCATGACAAAAACAACACAAAAGAATGTCATGTATAAGTGAATACATGTGCATGTTGCATGGACTTAGTGGTGTAAATGAGTCCAAACGAGCTCAAGTCACTCCTAGCTTGGGCTTGAGTTAGATTAATTAATCAAGTTTGAGCTCGCGCTTGAGCTTAATTCTACAAAATCGAGTTAGCTCTCGAGTTAAAGCTAGCTCAAACTTGACTCCTTAGCTCATTGAGCTCGGCTCACGAGCCAAACTCAAGTCAGCTCACGAATCAACTTGATTTATTTATACCCGTATATGTAGTAGCCCTCTCATGGTATTAGTCAAAGATGCAATACACTATTACCCATAAGGGGAAAAGAGTTGCATATCCTTAGGGGCTCAGGTCGAAAAGATTATGAGATGATGTACATTTGATGATAAAATTTAGCAATGCTCCTATGATGGGTGTATTATAAGATAAGATAATATATTAAAATAATAAAGAAACCTAAAAGCCTTCTTGAACTACCATTGAGAAAGTTGCAAATACATCTTTATGTATTGCACATGAAAAAGTTGTATGTTATGATTTATATACGAGGATGCATGCACATTTTTTCTAGTTTTTTTATTACTATGATTTAGAAATGTATTTAACCACCAGGTTATTTAACTCATCATTTAATCGATAATAATTTTTAAGAAAAACTCCTTTAATGTAAATGGGTGAAATAAAAAAGATTTGTGTGCGTCAAAAAGCTAAAAGAGGGTAGTTTAGGTATTGTAAAAAACGTTAAGCATAAATCTCTTTTGCGTTTTTGAAAACATGCATATAATAAGGAAAAATAAAAAGAGTAATGTACATCAAGAGATGTTTCTAGATAATAGTTTATGGTTTTACTTGGCTATTTTCAGATGATTACATTCTAAAAGCAATGTGAGAATGTTTATATTTCAATCTACTATGAGTGGAAGGATTAAATTTGGAAGAAGCGAGTCATATAACTTTGCTTGGGAAGAGTCTTTAATTATCCAACAAATCAAGTGCTTCTGCAAGGTAGTATAATTGTTCTATTCTATGTAAAGTTTTATATTTTGATACATCCCACAATTTTCTACTAAATCTAGGACAACCCATGAAGTTGTTAAGTAAAGAAGTAATCTCCATTTTCAAGTAAGCAGTAAATAAATCAATCAATAGATTGTGTTTAAGTTCTACAATGATATCTATTAGAATTCATAGAATTTGAGAAGGGTAAAAATACCTTCTAATTATTATACAAAATTATCCCTATTTATAGATCTATACAATATGTCTTAATAGAAAAATAAATAACTTCTAATTGATACATAATTGCCTCAATATAATCCTCCCTAATTCAGCTATCCAAATATAGAAGGATATTAGCATGATCCAGGTGAGCCTCCCACGGATTCTCATCCTGACCGTGGGATCAAATGACAAGGGATGACTGAGATTTTGACACTCCCCCTCAAGTTGGAGACCAGCTTGCAATTACTCGCTCAGAGGTAGAGCTGCATTGGTTATAGATAGGATATCAACCACAAGAGAAAGCTGGCGATGAAGGCCGATGATGAAAAACTATCCTCAAAATTCTGACAATTAAGGACGATTGTGGGAACTTGTATTCCTCAAAATTCCAGCAATGAAGGAAGGTGATGGGAACATCCTCAAAATTCCAACAATGAAGGCTGGTAGTGAGAATTTTGTATTCCTCAGGTTTCCAACAATGAAGGCTGTATTTATAGTAGCAATAAAGGTTGATTTGATCAACAATAAAGGTTGATTTGCTTGTATCAGCAATAAAGGCTGATTTGATCAGCAATAAAGGCTGATTTGCTTGTATCAGCAATAAAGGCTGATATTAGATCTTAATCAGATCTTAAATCTGATTTAAGTTTTTTTTATTTTATTTTTTCAAATATCTTGGTTTAATAAACCGAACCGCTTGGTTTAATAAACTAGACCGAGCCAAGTTAAAAAAAAAACTCGGATCAAGCAGCAGGTAGGGCACATGCAAGCAACTCCTAGTTTCGGTGTCGGCAAGAGAGCAGTGTCGGCAGCTTCTTGCGGCACCGACTGTGGATTCTGCGGCGTCTATCTTCGGCGTATCGGCGTCTGTCTTCAACTTTTGTTGGTAACGCTCCGTCTGCCTTCATCTATGGCTTCATTCGCAAGCTCCGGCTTCGTCGTCTGGGCAATGTAGCTCTGTCCGCGTTGTTATCTCTATCCGCATCGTGAGCTCCATCTGCGACCATGGCTTCGATCACAAGGCTTCGTTGCTTCTGCACGCACGAGAGTTGGCTCGCAATTAGGCAGCTCCTTCCCGTGAGGTCTTGATGTTTCCTTCCTTTGGCTCCGTCTCGCAGGAGGTTTGCTCGGCCTGTCTGTCCCGCAAGGCCCCGCCGCTTCCTTCCTTCGACTTCGTCACAGTTTGCTCAGCCCGTCCGGTTTCATTCAGCTTCAAGCTTCTGGGTCCAGCGTCGCTTCTTCGGCTCCTTCGAGGCTACACTCCTTTGACGACTTTCCCCTTCTGTCGGATCGGAAGTTACAACGTTTGTATCGGGACTGCGACTGGAGCTCTTGGGGTCGAAAGCTGCGATAGGCGTTCTTGCGGTCGGATCTTGCGTGCGAGTCCTCCGGACCGAACCGATACTTTCAAGTGCTCAGGTTAGGATATGGCACAGAGGTTTCTTCAGCTTCTTCGTGCTGCTCCTTCGACGTCTCTCTCGTTTGGCTTCGGGTGCGTCACAAGAGCCTCTGTCCGGCTTCCTCCCACAGGGCTGACTCCATCCCGTGTGTGTCAAGGCTCCATGCGTATGAAAATCTTCCGTCTGGTTTCGCCTTCGTTCAACAGAGTCCCGCTCGAAATCGGTCTCTTTGGATGGATAGGTTTGACGCGTAATAGAGAAGGTCCGTCGGCTTCTTCCTTCCCGGCCATAGCTAGGCTTTCATCTGCTTTGTCCTGCACGCGGAGGAGACTGGCATCATTGGTTTTGACAACTAGCTTCTAGGGCAATGAAGGCCTCTTCTTCACGATGGTTTCCTCTTCAATTTCTCTGGCGATCTACGATCTTTCTTCCACAATAATGAAGGTCATTGGCTCTGATACCATGTTAGAATTCATAGAATTTGAGAAGGGTAAAAATACCTTCTAATTATTATACAAAATTATCCCTATTTATAGATCTATACAAGATGTCTTAATAGAAAAATAAATAACTTCTAATTGATACATAATTGCCTCAATATAATCCTTCCTAATTCAGCTACCCAAATATAGAAGGATATTAGCATGATCCAGGTGAGCCTCCCACGGATTCTCATCCTGACCATGAGATCAAATGACAAGGGATGACTGAGATTTTGACAATATCATATTATCTTTTTTCATGTCCTTGATCCCTTCAATGGTGAATAAAGAAGATTCAAGGAAGCTGATCGCATTGGTGAAATGCCTTCAAAATTAGAGCAAATAGAGAGACACACCGGTGAAATACAACAACAACATCAAGCCTTTATCCTACTATGTGGGGTTGGAGACGGACAGTGAAATGTTTAAAAAATACTCTAAAAGCATTGCAAAGTTTGATTGACAAATGAACAATAAGCATATTCAAGAAAACCTGAAGAAAAATATGAAAAAATGTACTCATCATGGTTCCAACCCATCAAGCAAAGTTTACAAGAAAACAAACCATTCTACTGATGATTGCTAGCATAAAGGAAGTCACATTGTTACTTACGGAAGAAGTTTGAGCATATTGAGAAAATTCTAAATTTAAAAACTAAGAACATGCAATTTTTTTAAAGAAAAAGAGAATCTCTCTTAGGCAGGACAAGTTGCTACCTAGATGAAAGATGATATTTGGTATTTCTATAGTGGCTGTAGAAATCAAGTGTCAAAATGGGAGCTTTTTCTCGACATAGTTACTACAACTACTTCTAAACTGAAAATGGGGGAAATAACTATTATAGAATAAAAAGAAATACGTATTATTAACATCAATACAAAGAGGTGAAAATTTTTCTTGATGTATTTTAGTATTTAAGGTACCGGGCTTGAATCAGAAGTTGCCTAGTATTCAGCTTGTGGAGCATGAATGCAGTATTTTTTTCACCAAAAAAATCTTCCAAAATATATGGTAAGATGAATCAAAATCAATTCATTACTGAGTGAAGATGGAGAGAAATAGAATTTTCCAAACAACGTTTACTATAATGCTTAATGCTTTGACGGGTAAAGTTTTTCTGATTCTTTTTAGCTTTGGCAAAAGAGGAATTCTCACATGAATTTTCATGGATTCAAGCTACTAAACCAAAATCGTATAGTGAAATTCTTACAAGATATTTGAGTAAACGATGATCCATGTGAAAGCTCCAGGCTAGGCAAGAAACACAGCGGCCATTTCCAGAAAGATTCAAGGACAGCAAGCTCAACCCCACAAATTATTCATATTAACATTGGTGGACCAATGAAAACTCAACCATTGGGTCAACAAAGTTACTTTCTAAACTTTATTGATGCTTTTTCTAGACGACTTGGGTTTACTTCTTCAAAAAATTTGAGAAGCAGAGAAATTGATGCGTCAAAATCATACTAAGTTATTGAGATTCGGAATACACTTCTTCAGAATTTGAAACTTGAGCAAAGATGAGGGTATTTGGAAGAAGCTAACGATGGGATACATTTTGCAACATATTAGAATCTCCGAAACTAAAAATATAACCATTATTGAAATTCAAGGTATCAATAATTGATTGCCAAAAAGCTTTCGGGAAGTTCTAAATGCAGCTGTCTGCATTCACAACAGCTGTTTGACAAATGCAGTAAAGAATGTGACGTCATTTGAAGCATGAAGAGAAATCAAAATCAGCACAAGTCATTTTAAATTTTTGGTTCCCTTTGCTATTTTCATATCCCTTAAATTTGATGAGAAAGGTGAAAAATGCATCTTTATTAGGCATAGTCTTGATAACAAGTGATACAGAGTATACAACCGTGAATATAACAAATTAATAGTTAGTCAAGTGTTATTTTTAATGAAAAAATGCAGCTTATGATTGACAAGAAAAACAGAGAGAAGAAGTGCCTCTCATACAAGTGAAATCTCAAGAATTTAAAACAATGAAGACAGAAAAATTCATTCCAAGATAGAAAATTTCTAATTTTAGATTCTGAAGAATATAAGAAGTCCCCCCCCCCCCAGCCCCCCCCCCCCCACAAATAAAAGGAGAGGGATAATTTAATTGAGAGATATAGAACTAGGCATCTTTATCTGAATGCTAAGAGCATACTTGAAATTGTTAGTAATTTAGTATGTCAAATTGCAGGTTTGTTGCTGCACCATTGGCTACAAATGATAGGTTGAGGAAAAAAATCATGGCTTAAAAAAGGAATTGTTCGCCGTAATGAAAATTGATTGGAAGCTTAGTTTATGTCTAATGAAAATTGATCTAATGTTAGCAACAAGCCTGCTCTCAAGATTAAGCCAAGTCAAACTCAATATGGCGATGCCAAAAGTGTACCAAGATATGTTCATGGCATAATTGACAATGAAATCATGTACCGGCAAAACAAAATTCCAAATTTGGTTGGTTATACTGATAATAATTAGGCTAGATGTGTTGATAAAATGAATAGTACTATGGGATATGCTTTTCAACTAGTTCAGAGAAAAGTTCAAAGATGCTAAAGATCCAAAATGCGGTGGCAAAATCTGCAACAAAACTGAGTACACTACAATGGTAAAAGCAACATCACAAGCTATTGGGCCAAGGAAAACACTTAAAGACACTAGAGAAAGACAAATTGAAGGCGCCAGCTTATTATTTGACAAAAAAATCAATGTTGTCATTAAAAATACAATCATCCATGAAAGACCCAGACACCTTTCAATCAAGTATCATTTTATTCAAGAAGCTATTGCGCAGGGAGAAATCCAGTTAAAAAATTGGAAGCTAGAGGAACAACTTACAGAGATTTTCACAGCAACACTTCCAAGAGAAAGATTTTATCTTTAAGAGCTTGTTGGATTTGCTAAGCAAATGCATCAAGGTAGTGTTAGAATTGATCCACTTTATGAAATTTCTCGAAGTAATATTTAGGTTCTCTGTGTCTCCCAGAAATAAATGTGAATCTAAAAATTGTGCGCCTTTTCATATTTCTAAGCACTTCTCAGTATTCTACTAAATCAAGAATGATCCATGAGTAGTAGTATAAATAGAGATGCAGTCACCAACTTCATGCAAGCAAAAGAAAACAAAAGACTTTGCTTGAGCTCGACCAATAAGAACTCTTTTATCTGTTTTATGCCCTTCCTACACGTCATGTAATATACATTAGGCAATTGGCATCGAGGGATGAGGGAGTTCTTAATCTGCGAATTTTCTCTCCCAATTCATTTAAGGTTGTTACAATTAAGCATTTTTTTTGTTTCACCCCTCTTTCTAAGTCTTCAACTTGACGATTATTATAGGAATGTTCTCAAATATTCTAAAAATGTAAATTGGATGTCCCTAGCTTGTGACATCTATCAGACCAATTTGAAAATACTCATCAAATAAATTCTTACATCAATATGACTCCTTCACAAACTTCTTCCTTGGTAGACTCTAACATCCTCTTCTACATAAACATCTTCTACTATAATTTTTAGCTAGATCAAAGCATGAGCAAAGTCTTACCTCTCATCTTTCTCCCTCATTTGTATAGCACTAGTTTCTTTCTCATACTCATTTGCATTCTCCATTTACCTCCCCATTCCGACAAAGACATATTGGCATACTTATATTCATTTTATGTAAAATTTTGTAACAAGGACTGTGTTTCATTAGTAGGTTAGAAATCTAAATAGGAACTACACGGTTAGGGCATTGGCATTCCCCCAGTCCCATCCACCTCTATTGTAAATACTGCACCATTGAATAAACGCACACACACAATGACCATTTCCATTATTAAGAAATAACTCCTTATCTGGCACATTGCTTAAACCAATTTTGTAATAAATTCAAAGAAAAAAATGCCATTCATCAAACTGCACGAATGCAATTTTTCAATAAAATTTAAAGGAAATAATATCATTTCACCAAACATCCCAGACTCAATACATATATTGCATTATGGTGCAAAAGTGCTCCTCAACGCATGAAAATAACCACCACAAGAAAAGCATTACAACATATCGACGGCTTTATTAGCATTATAAATAATAAATACCTTTCCACAGAATTCACAGAAGTACTTAGCATGTTGTGAAACCTCCATTTTCTTGATTTGCTTCCGCAAACTGGCACCGTATCTTGTGCCTACATCATGAGCACTTAATAAGTTTTGGTTACAAATAGTAGATAACACATAACAATTAAAAATAGAAACAATAACGCAGGCTGGATTAAAGTATGACATACCATATTTTCCAACAATTCCAGCCTTCTTGGTTCTCTTTGTCTGTTTGGATAGGAAAAAAAATTGTCCATTAGTATCGATCATATGAGCATATTGGATAGTTCTGTATTAATGAAAGTTAAGCAAGTAGCATTATTAGCATTGATAAACAAATACTGCATACAAGCTTATACTTTTTAGAAATTTCATGGGTGGTCCTGCTTTAGAAAATTATACAATAACGTCCATCCCCAAATTCCAGAAAAAGAGTTTGAAGCCACCTCTCTTGCAGAAGAGGTGTAGAAGGGCTGATATCCAAGCAATTGATGATATAAAACTCTCCAAACAGACAAATTCATATAAAAAAACAAAAAATGAAGCAAGAAAGTAAAGCAATTATTTTGACTGGCATAAAAAAACAAATGCTGCATTTAAGCCTGAAAATTTTAGAAATTCCACGAGTATTACAATAATAGGTATTGCATCAAACGATATCAGTACATTCCCATATCCCCGACGGATGAGACTGAAGCAGCGCTCTTGCAGTTGAATGATTATTCAATCATTGATGTTGCAAAAACCGCCATATCTCATTCCATGTTAATAGGCAAATTTCAAACGAAAATAAGCTACAAAAATAAAATCTTTAAAACACCCGGCCAACTAGTCATACTATCACGAAGTAGAATCTTATTACAATAGAAAAACCATAATAGCAGGAAAGAAATGATGAATCAAAACGTAGAAAACCTAAAAAATATGCGAACGAAGAGGAAAGATCTAGCCGAAAGCTTACCATCTTGCTTAGCCAAGGGGATCCGAGACTTGCAAGTCGAACAAGCAGCAAGGATTCAAACACTGAACGAACTAGCCAGCCGCATCTCCCTCTTTAAAGTTAAGAGGTCAGAAAAACCCTAACGCGGGCAGCAATGGCACGGAATCACAGCCGTCCGATGAGAAGATAATACACCACGCGTTCGAAGCCTTATTTTGTTTATTTATTAATCCGGTTTGATTTTGATTGTTTGAAGTTAGGCTTTTATATATATATATATAAATATATGAGCAAGAAGTAAAATTTTGTCTTTTAGGGGCAATTTGATTTCGAACTAAAAGTAAAGTATTCTAAATGTAAATATTTTAAAAACTTTGATGCTTGAAAGTAAAAAAATTAGAATAAAATTTTGAAGTATGAGTTTATTTTAAAAATTATGGGATCTGATCAATTTTCAAATACATTATAATGTATCTCATAATGCCATCGCAAATCACCTTCGTCGTTGCCTGTCATCCATCAACTATTGCCATCATTGAAGTTACAATACAGTAATTTATTTCAAGCCAAATAAATCTAAACAGTTTAAATGCATTGCATTTCTTTTTTATTACATTATATTTTGTCATGCATTTTTTTCATCTAAGTATATAGTCCCTTGATTAAGAATAATTTTGCATTATGTTGATAAAGAACTCTCTTACTGAATATAATTACAAATAACTTCGCTTCGATATTACTCAAATATGGCTAAGCACATGTTGGTCATGGTCGGATCCCCACACAGCTGAGGGTGGGCAAATTAAAGATTAGTTTTTATGTTGAGTAATTTTAAAACTCTACCCCCAAAAGAAATTTTTTTATCCTAATCTTCCTTGTCCTGAGCGTGCACCACTTCACTCTTCCAGAATTTTTTTTGTTTCTCTAATTCACATCTAGATTTATAGAAGTTGCTTGCCATTCATAGATCCTGCTCTCTGCATGACCCTGCCAGTCATCGCCATCCTCATAATCGCCGCACGACCATGCCTACGGTCATGGCCCTTGTTGCACGAGTCACAACCTCACCATTCTCGGATTGAAGGTAAGGAAAATTTTGATGTTTTAGCAAGTCGACTCCCTCAGTTGCACTAAATAATTTCTCTGATTTCTACTTTCTTAACATGTATTTGCTTCCATGTATAGCTTCATTCAACCTGAAATTGATATAATTTGAGAGGAAGGGCTTTTTTTACTAGTTTGGTTCAAGCATGAAAACTAGACTAGAGGCCAAATTGCATCTTAATCAATTAAAATTGGTTGGGACAGAGTTCTAAGATAGTCAATTTCATTGAGGTGAATTTCACTAATGTTTGCTTTGCATTTGTTTACTTTTTTTGGAATTCTACCCTTATCTATGTTTAGATTGTAATGAATTTTATTTTTTATCCATCCTCAAATTAAAATAAATAATTTCTTATTAAGATAAGTACAGTAAAACTATAAGACATCCTACTCCTCATTTTATATTATTTATTAACATTAGTTTGTGTCAAACAAAGCAAAATTGAGGATTTCTTCTACACCATCACAATTGGAACACACTTATCACCTCTATGTAGGTTCAAAATTAGAAACACATTGAAATCCACTTCATATCATATAAATTTATATTAAATAAGTGCTAAATCTTAATCTTAGAACTAAGATTAAACCCTTCTAAACACTCTTGCTAAGCAATAAAGCCCAAATCCTTTTGGAGATTACATTTAGGCTTCGTTTTGGACGACTTCTTTGTTGCTTCTTAAGGCATATTTTTAGTATAAAAATTAAAAATTCTATACAAGAAAGTTGCCTTAAGAAGAAACAAAAAAGTCTGTCCCAAACAAAACCTTAAACTAATTCTCACAATTTCTTGATCAAATGTAAAATTTAAGAAAGCAAGATTTACTAAGACTAATATGATCATCATGTATCATGAGTTGCCCCTCTGTTTCAACTAGACCATCATATTTTGATATTTTCTTAAGATCATATTAAATGCATGTATTGATTATTATCATTATTATTATTATTTTCTTCTTTCCAAGTTAGTTTAGCCAACTTAAAAGGTAACTGTCAAATATTTTATAAATGGATTGATTTTTTAATACAAAAGAATGTGTCTAGGTTGATAACAACAATCTCTCTGCTGACCTTGGGCTTCGACTATCAATCTGGAGTCACAAAATAGATAAGAGGGTCAAAGTTGGGAGACCTTATTTGTTGAAGGGACCATATCAACCAAAAAAAAAAAAAAAACTATTTCCTTCAAATAATTGTAGCAAATGTTGCACATAAATTTAATGAAAAATGGTTTAAAAAATATCTTTATTGGTTAAAAAAAACAATGTACAAAAAGGTGATATATTTTGCCTTTAATGCTACATATTTAAATCTTAAGATTAAACTATCAAATGTTAAAGTAGTAGAGACTCGTTTGTTGGGAAGGATTTAAAAATTGAAAGATAAAATAAAAAATTTTGGGTTATATATGAGAACATAACATTGCACATAACAAGACAAGACAAAAACATCAAGAACAGAGTCTTCATGCTTTATGGTTAAGCAAGGATTAGAAGAATAAAAAAAAACATCGTATAATGTTGACTACAAGTATTGATTATATTCTATTTTTTATTCGCCAGAGTTGTCATTATGTGGGCATGATAAGTCATCTAGCTCAGATAATTATTTGGAGTTATTTCAATTTTTTGTGAATCATAGTAAAGAAGTCAGTAAAGTTGTATTTGAAAATGGTTGTGCTAAGTTAAGTTAACTTCACCGAAAGTGCAAAAAGGGATTTATAGTGTTATAGCTATTGAGAACTGAGCTTCAATCATGAATGATATTAGTGATTTCAACTTCACTATTCTATTTGATGAGTCATATGATATGTCAACAAATGAATAATTAACTATTGTAATGAGATATGTAGATAGGTTGAGTCGAGTAATTGAGAAATTCATAGGTATTACACATGTTTTCTTCAACAAATATTATTGCATTGAAGACATCCCATGTAACTATACTGGCAAAGCATTCAATGAGCATGCACATGATACATGGTCAATATTACCATGGAGCATGTAATATGGGATGAGAGTTTCATGGTTTGAAAGCACTTATACTAGATTATAGTCCTCAGACATTTTGTATATATCATTTTGCTCATCTACTCCAACTATTCTTAGTAGGTGTAGCAAAAAATTATTGATAGGTGAAGCATTTATTTATGTCACTTCAAAATTTCTAAATATGTTGAAGTTCCAAACAAGATGAATGATACTCTTAAAGTAATTTAGCATGATAAAATAATTTTTCATCTAAGTATTAGGGAGTTAAGAATAGTCGATATTCAAACTAAGAAAATAATTTGCAATGCACTCGTGATATCCACTGGGGTTCACATTTTCAAACCATAATTAATCTAATAAAAATGTATGCTTATATACTCAAAGTGAAAGAAATTATCAAGGAAGATGAGGCATGATCAATAGTCAGTTGACTCACGTTTATGTTTTAATATATACAATTAAATATTTTGATTTTATCTTGGCAATACATTTAAGGATTAGAAATGAAATTGTTACAAGCATGATAAAAAAATATTATATTATCATGAATGCAATGAGATTGGTACAAGTGTTGAAGCAATAATTACGTATGATGATGAAAAATGAATATGAGCCTTTAGTCGAAAAAGTATCACCTTTTTATAATATTTTTTAAATTGATGCTTCAATTATAAACCAAATATTTAAGTCTCGTCAATGACCATTACTGCAAGGTGAATAAATAATAAACTTTTATCATTATCGGATTGATTTATTTTAAACTATCATTGATATACAGCTTTAGGAATTGAATGATCACTTTTCATAACATAGTATTGAATTATTTCTTTGTGTGGCATGTCACAACCCAACCCGACCAGGATAGGTTCTAACGTGTTGAGTTGCGACAGACAAATCCCAAGATCTAGTTTTGGAATTATTTCAAATTTTCTGCAAATATTCATTAAAATAAATGACGAACTATAGAGCTACTAAAATATCCAAATACTGAAAAGCTCATTCATAAAATTTCTTCATTCATCAAAATAAATATATACACTATAGTATATGGCTACAAACAAAAATTATAGAACTGAAAATTAAACTAGTCATGACTGTACAAAAATTAAAATAGCAAAATACCTATGACCTCAATTCTGAACCTGAATTACTAGTCCATTATCTCTTTCTCCTTTTCATATCCTAAAAATCTGAAGTAAAATCATAGTGAGCTATAACAACTCAACAAGCCACACAACCAATCTAAATTTTTAAATAATCTTTTATCAAATATTTTGTTGAATATTTAAAAGCAGTTAATTATGATTTAAATATATCACTGAACTGAGAATCACAAAACTAAAAAATATAATAAATGCATTGCATTTATGCTACGATTCAAATAATAGTATAGAATAAATGAATAGATTAAAATTCATATCATAGAATAGTTCATATCACATTTCTCTGACCCAGACATAATCTAAAAGGATTCTGGCCCCTTATGACTTCCTTTTTTTATTTGTTCTTATAGCACTAAAACATATCAGATATCCATGTCTCAGATAGAATTTTAAAAGATATAACCCCTTATAACTCTCAGAAATTCCCTAACACAAACAGAATCTCAAAAGATTTTGGCCCGTTATGACTTCAAACAGATATAATTTAATCACATATGCACATATATCATCACGTTATAACAATTAAAGAGGAATTGATCATGTATAAAAATTTTACAATATTGTATAACGGTAGACAACATAAAATCCAATTAGGAAAAAATACACATTTTTCAAAAAATTATCAAATTACCAGGGATTGTGTAAAAGAATATTTTAAGACTTTTATTATATCACAACACTATTTTTTAACATCCCGATAATTTTTCATTCAATAAAAACCCCACAAATTTAGAAATCCCCATTAAAAAATTTCAGAAAATATTTAAAATATGTATAACCTTAATCTCTACAACATACAAAAAGTTACGCGGTAAAAGTTTTATTGGAGCAAAGTTATCCCTATTTTTCGGTAACAAATACAAAATTTTGATCGAAATATTAACTAGAACTTGCACATTTTCAAAATTTGATACGGGCA